GCACAGGCTCACGATTGGTGTGCCTCCAGGCTTGGAGGGCTTGCCCTGTGTTGATTGGTCAACTGGTTGTTATGGCCCATAGGCCCCCCCAGGGTGGTTGCTATGCTCTGTGGGTCATTGCTGTGCGCTTGTCCGTAAAGTACACCCAGTGCCGTAAAGCATAGCACCACCAGCTAACTTCTGATTGGTTCCTTGTCAAGAGGCAGGCACCTAACCTCTAGTGACTAAGACAAGGTCTTAGCGAGCACGTGTTACTGCCATGGCTGCCGAAATGGGGAGCTGGTCCCTTCAAACCACAAAAGGTAGTTCAAAGCCCGATGCTAACCTTCAGATTTCAAGCCAGATGCAATGTCTCTGGGATCTCTTGCTACAGAAGTTGTCCTATGGAAACTAGGTATGATGTCACACACTTGTAATATCAGGCAGAAGAATCAGAAGTCCAAGATCAACCTCAGCTTTGCTGTGAGTTGGGATCCAGCCTGGGCTACACGAGGCCCTGTCTCAAAGAAAAGAAAAGAAGAGAAAAAAAGAAAAGATAAGATTATGAGAGCCAAGAGTGATGATGGCTGGTGTGCAATCCTGACACTTGGGAGGTGTGGTAGTTAGCCTTTATTACTTGGGCTGGTCCTCAAGTCCAAGGTAGTTTTGATTCTGGGGAGACAACAGGTCTTAGTATGACAGGATCATTGCTAAGGAGCAAACACTTCAACCCCAATCAGGCTTGAACTGCACAAATAGATTGGGAGTAAACCCTCAGATCCCGGTGCTGGTCCCTGGGCCTACCAGGAATGCCTTGTAGTAGTCATTGTTATCTTTCTCCAGATTCACAAAACATGGTGCCCAATGGAGCTGGTGGTGAATGACGAGCACAAAGAGTTCCCTTCTCCTGTCCTCGGGAAAGGGTACAATTTTATGAACGGATCATGCCTGAGTTATGAAGCCAACCACGTCCGCGAGTGCCTTCTTAAAGGTGAGGAGTGGAGGGCCATTCTAAGCATGATGAGCTCCCTCATACCCAGAATCGAAAACAGTTTTTTTTGTTTTTTGGTTTTTGGTTTTTTGGTTTTTTGAGACAGGGTTTCTTTGTAATGTTTTAGAGCCTGTCTTGGAACTCGCTCTGTAGACCAGGCTGGCCTCGAACTCACAGAGATCCGCCTGCCTCTGCCTCCCAAGTGCTGACATTAAAGTCGTGCGCCACCAACGCCTGGCATGCAAAAGCAGCTCTTTAGAACTACATTTCCCAGGATGCCGAGGGACTTCTACCTTCTCAAAACACACTGCCTATTCCGTGGGTGCTTCTGGGAATTGTAGTCTTCAGTGTGTGGGTTTTGGACGACTTTTCCTTTGCTCTCTCTTTCCAGGTCTTAAGGAAAGTCCTGTAGTTCCTCTGGCAGAGAGTGAGCTCATGGCTGAAATCCTTGAGGAGGCGAGGAAGGCTATTGGAGTCACCTTCCCCCAGGATAAATGCTGATGCTGCTCCTGGGTCGAACGTAGCAATCAATAATTTTTCCTACTTGGGACACCCTAGCTTGACCCTAATTGCTTTGGAGTTATTTTTGCAAAACAGCCCGAGTTCTCACGTTGGAGACCTCTCCCTTTCTGGGCTCTTAAAATACACCTTGCTTAGCCGGGCGTTGGTGGCGCACTCCTTTAATCCCAGCACTCAGGAGGCAGAGGCAGGCGGATCTCTATGAGTTCGAGGCTAGCCTGGCATAACTGGGCAGAGGGCAGGCTTTTTTTTTTCTGGGTTTTTTTTTCGAGACAGGGTTTCTCTGTGGCTTTGGAGGCTGCCCTGGAACTAGCTCTTGTAGACCAGGCTGTTCTCGAACTCACAGAGATGAGGGTAGGCTTTTATAGCATCTTTGAAGCATGCTCAATGGGCTAGTGGAAAAGTCCAGAGTATTAACCCTGGGGGTGGGGATTTCCAAGTACCAGGACAGGCCAGGGGCAGTATGATTTTCCTACAAAGAGAACCCAAAATGGCCTTGAAGGAATGTGGGATACCTGGTGACTGATATTGCCAGGGTGACACTGTGTCATGCTTGCTCTGACTTTCTCCATCCTGCTCTCTTTCCTTGAGATTGTTTCCTCATTAGGGACTAAATGAGGGTGGGGTGGCAGCCGGGTGCAATACCAGCACTCAGAAGGTAAAGGCAGGCAGATCTCTATGAGTTCCAGACCAGTAAGTTTCAGGCCAGCCAGTTTCAAGGTGAGACCCTAGAGAGGGAATGGTGGGGTTGGGGAATGGGAGGGGGATGGAGAAGACAGAGACACTGGGGCTGGAGCAATGACTCAGTAGTTAATAGTTCTTGTTGGTCTTGAAGAAGATGCAGACTCAATTCACAAAGTGGTTCACAACGGTCTTTAACCCCAGTTCTAGAGAACCTCGATGCCTTCTTCTGATTTCTATGGGCACCAGGCACACACGGGGTACACATACATACACGTAGGCTGTTAGGTCTCAAACCTGGGACAAATGACTGAGGTGCCTATTTAATTATCAAAGCCGACCTGGATGCCAACCTCTCCCAGCATCCCTCAGTTCCTACCTGTTGTGGGGGACTGGGGGTGGGAGACAACAGGGGACACACCAGGGCTGAACCCTCCAGCCCGGGGCTGGGCTGCCCTTCCCCCAGAGGCCCTTCCCTATAGAATCCAGGCATTTTGGTTACCTGCCCTTTTTTTGTATCTTTGCGTTCTTGTCTGTTGCACCTGTTTTCCCTCTCTCCCTCTTCCCTCCCCTCCTCCTCTTCTCTCATAGCCAGGCCAGTCTGGTCAAGTCCACTCCGGACACTCCCAGATGTCTCTGCCTCTATTTACAAGCTTCCTTTTATCTACAATAAACTTTCTATTCCACCAACCTAGGAGCAGTCATGTCCTTTCTTTTGAATTTTTTTTTCACTCACAGGCAAAAGACTCATAGACATAAAATAAATACATCTAAAAAAAATAGCCAGGTGGTGGTGCCACCTTTAATCCAGCACTCAGGAGGCAGAGGCAGGTGGATCTCTGAGTTCAAGGCCAGCCTGGTCCACAGAGTGAGTTCCATAACAGTCAGTGTTGTTCTTTTGTTTTAATTAGTCATGCAATGGAACACGAACCAAGAGATTGATTAGCCATGGAGTTTATTAAAGAGGAGGGAGAGCGAGAGGAGGGGCAAAGGGAAAGAGGATCGGGCAAAAGGAGAGCAAGACATCGTAAGTGGACGACGGTCTGTCCTTTAAAGGGTCCTTTGCACCTGCATGCAGACTAGTTGTCATGGAACCCTGGGCTGACCAGAGTACTGCCTGAGTGCATTGTGCCAGGTGACAGGGGCAGGCCAGAGTAATGCCTGAATCATTACATTCAGGACTACACAGAGAAAACTTGTCTCGAAAGAACAAATAAACAAAGACAAAAATTAAAGTGTGGGTGTGACTTCGGGAGCCCACAGCCTGTGTGACTGACTGCCCACAGACAGAAAAAGTATGTGGGTCACAGACACCCTCTTTCAACTGGCTATTGTATTTTCATCAGCAAACAAGAGACACTGCATCCTGCATACTACATCCTGTCTGGTAATGACTCATGGGACAGAGTCTCACCTTTAACAAAATACAGAGCTTTGGGCTGGAAAGTCTCAGCAGTTAAGAGCACTTGCTGGCCAGGCATTGGTGGCACAGGCACTTCATGCCAGCACTCCAGAGCAGAGGCAGGCAGAGCTCTGTGAGCTCTCTATGAGTTCCAGGACAGCCAGCATTGTTACACAGAGAAATCTGTCTTGGAAAAACCAAAACAGCAAACCAAAGCAAAACAAACAAATAAAAAAAGATCACTCACTGTTCTAAAAAAGAACTCCATCAGTCTGGCTCATACATTGATAACTCCAGCTCCAGGGGATCTCTGCACGTACCCATTGGTTAAAAATAAAATAAATTGCTGGGTTTGGGTGGTACACACCTTTAATCCCAGCACTCAGGAAGCAGAGGCAGATGGATCTCTGTGAGTTTGAGGCCCGCATGGTCTACAAAGGCAGTTCCAGGACAGCCAGGGCTACACAGAGAAATACTGTCTTGAAAAACCAAAAATAAATTTAAAAATTCTTAATGGTTTTCTAGCAGGGTATTATGCATGGTGGACACTCTGCCAAGGACACTCTATAGCCTAACAAACTGCTCTCTTAAAAAAAATAAAATAAAATTAGGGTCTGCAAAGATGTCTCAGAGGTTAAGAGCACTTGCTGCCTTGCAGAGGACGGAGTTCTATTGCCAGCACCCATGTGGTGGGTCACAGCCATCTGTAACTCTAGTTCTAGATCCAACATCCTTTTCTGACTCCAATGGGCATCAAACACGCATGTGGTAAGCATAGGCATGCAAGCAAAACACTAATGCATGCCTTTAATCCCAGCACTCCAGAAGCAGAGAACCCAGCAGGGCTTCATGAGATTTACTGTAGTTCCTTCCAATGTCCCCCTACTACGTGACTCCTCTTAAAGGTCCCACAACCTCTTCATGTGAAACTGGGGACCTAGCCGGGCGTTGGTGGCGCACGCCTTTAATCCTAGCACTAGGGAGGCTGAGGCAGGCAGATCTCTGTGAGTTTGAGGCCAGCCTGAGTGAGCTCCAGGACAACCTCCAAAGCAATACAGAGAAACCCTGTTTCGAAAAAACAAAAACCAAACAAACAAAAACCACACACACACACACACACACACACAAAGAAAACCAAAGTCAGAAACTGGGGACCTACCATTCTTCTCCAGTACTTGAACTTATGGGGAAACAAATCATAACATTTCTTTTTATTTCACTTTTCATGTGAAACTCATCTGTCAAGGCCGAGGGGCAGATATGGTCTCTGAGAAGTCTTAAGCCTCAGAGGCAGCCAGAGTCTCCTGTATATTCCTGACATTTAGCCAGGCATTAAATGATACATTTGAGGGCTGGAGAAATGGCTCCACCAAGCACTGGCTGCTCTTCCAGAGGTCCTGAGTTCAATTCCCAGCAATTGTGGCTCACAACCATCCATAATGAGGTCTGGTGGCCTCTTCTGGCCTGCAGGTATACATGCAGGCAAAACACTGTATAATAAATCTTTTTAAAAAAATGGTACATAGCTGGGCCTTGGTGGCGCATGCCTTTAATCCCAGCACTCGGGAGGCAGAGGCTGGCGGATCTCTGTGAGTTCAAGGCCAACCTGGTCTCTAGAGCGAGTGCCAGGATAGGCTCCAAAGTACACAGAGAAACCCTGTCTCGAAAAACCAAAAAAAAACAAAAAAAACCAAAGGTACATTTGGATACAACCATGAGTCAATAGGTGTTCTAGGTCCTAGGGAATTGAAGAGAAAGGAATACAGTTCTTTTGGGAAATCTAGGTAGGTAAGAGCCACCAACAATTAACTAAAATATTGCACATACAATTAATTACAGTGATGTGAAACATTATAAAGCCCAACAAAGAAAAAAAAAAAAAAGCTGTCCATGTCAGACATCACATTAATCCCAGTGCAGAAGCAGACGTGGGCAAATCTCTGGTTTGAGGCCAACCTGGTCAATAAAGCAAGTTTCAGGATAGTCGGGCTACACAGAAAAACCCGGTCATGAAAAAACACCAATGACTCATAGCAATGAATACTTTCAAGTCAAGAAGTGTAGACTGAAGGGTACACAGTGCATGAGCTCGAGGCAATACTTTCTCCTGCCTCAGCCTCCTAATACTGCATAACGAAGTGACACCATTCCTGGTAGCGGTTTTTGGGGACAAGGCTTTGTTGAATATCGTAAGCAGGCTTTGAACTCGGAGTAATCCTTCCGCCTCAGCCTCAGTAGCACTTCTACTACGGAACTATGGAAAAGGCAATAAATAATGGAACCTCTAGGTCCACGTTCGGCCTCAGGCAGAACTGCGCACGCGCACTCTTGTGACCTAGGCCCCGCCCGGATAGGCCGGACAGTCACG